GTAATACCAATGTAACAATAATAGCTAAATAGTGGCTATTCCAATGTTAAAGTTTCTAGGCTTTTGACAATTGGTGATCGGCAGCCGTTGATGGGAACTACCTCCATTACAAATCAAATTTTCATTGTTTCAGTGAGAAATACCATTGGGAGAACGGCTTTTGAATTAAGAAATGAGGTTAGAATCGGAAAGATTGTCTCCCGAAACCTTTACTATCAAGTTTTAGGAAAATTTCAGTCCCGCATTCTCTGGCGTGCTCTCAAGGTTTGCCAGAATCCATCCCCAAATGTGCGTTCCGATTCTGCCTTGGCTAGAGAGCCGCGTGGCTCTGGGTCGTTCCCTTCCTAGGCGCGTCAAAGTCGTTGCCGCTCTCGCGGCAAGAAACGCGCCCCTCGCGCAGAATAGCTCCTGCCGAATATTCCGGGATCGCCAGCATAGAAGAGCATCATGACGGTGTTGATGATGTCCCAGGTAGGCATCACTCTCGATCTCTGATGCTCATTGCTAAGGCGGCCATCCAAACCACGGAAGCTGGGACCTGTATGAATTGTGCCTCCAAGGTTATGCCGAATCTCTGATTGGGGATTCTTCCTCTATTGAACGCTTGGATCCAGGCTTCAGGAGCCAGCTCGCGCCACAATCGACGTGCTGCGACTGACGTCCAGCTTTTACGTGCGGCCCACAACACGTTAAAGCCGAGTGATCTCTGTTGCTTAAACAGACACGACTTCACCCATCCAACCGGTCACCTTACGCTCAATCCTTTCAAGTGTCCACAATTTCGCCATCCTTGTCCTGGAGGTCATTCGCTAATCGTCCGCCACCGATTATGCTGATGGCCAGCGGCTTACCTCGCCCTTCTTCGAGGGGTATGGCAGGCCTGGCGCGGTATCTCTTATGGCAGCGATGGAGTTCAAAATGTCGAAGCCCAGAAATCTATGTGCAACAGACATTTTTCATTCCGCCGAGCGATTTTGAATTGCATATACAAGCCACGGTTCATTTGGAGACCGGGACCTTAAAGACACGTTTCTATCGGCAGTGCTTGTGCCCAAAGTGTTGGTACCACCCTATCGTGGTTTCGAGGCTTCGGCCAATGGGCGACCGTTGTTCATTGATTGACAGAAATGAATCGCTGGGGGCAGATCGCTCATCGCACACACTCCGTCGCTTGTCCCCAATCAAAAAATCTACACAGAAAATTTGACTTCACCAGCACAAATCATCAGCAGATCTTCTCACAAATATTTAGCACATGAAAGAGAGGAACTTACCTTGTCGCAATTTAATTTCCAGATGATAAAAATTGAGGGCCGTACGCAACACTTCAGGCAGCAATTGACGAATTTTAATTTTAGAAACTCCATGGTAAAAATCCAAACCACAGATTTGTCAACTGGAAATTTCGAATTCCGAATTGCGATATGAATGGCAAATTGCAACTATTCGCAATGCACACATTAGATCTTAAAACAAAAGATTTGCAAATTGCCAGGTACTACATGTAATTTGGCTTATTTTGCTCTCTGGACTTTGAGCTAAGTCTCTCCGTGAGCTCCGTCTCCAGGTGAACTTTTGGTCGTCCTCGAGCACACAAACGATCCATAAGAGAACTGCACGCAGACGCTTGGACAGTGTGAGGCTAATCGATCTACGCAACCACTGAATTGCATTCAGCCCAAAGTGTCAGACAACATGGACATTCATAACATGCCATACACCATTTATTTGTTTATTCACTTACTTATTGTCTGTTTTGTTTTCTGGGAAAACTGCCCAAAATCGCCAGCTTGGTGACAGGGATTGCTTTGCCATGATTTTGGCAAATGCAACTGAAGCGGAATTCCAACATTTATTTTGTTATTCCATTCCGTGAAGTTCGCTCCATCCTGTGAAACTTTTCAGGAACCTCACCTAATGCGTCGGGACCACGTCAACAGCCCAAAATCCAATAACAAAACCCGTTGACTAACACGGTCCACCAATTCGGCTCATTTCATGCCATTGCTGCAACTAACCCCACCCAATGCGATTGTACACAAACGTTTCGCAACCCGGGAATCCATTTTTCGGACTGCGTCGAGCCGACAATTTCACTTCCTTTTTCCATTGCTGCAATCAATCCTATCCAATGTTCCATAGACACAAAATGGACCCACCCTTGCCCTTTCCACAATTTCTACTGAATCCCACACGTCTTCGCAGCTGACTCCGCTTAAGGAGCATAAACATTCCAAAAATACTACAATCCAATTTGTCTTTACTCTATTCCTCCAGTCTTGCTCGACCTCGTCAATCTCTTTAACAGAACCTTAACGCGTCGAGATCGCGAACATTGCGCACCGATAATCCGGTGCGTTGCGTACACCGTACGGCCAGTATCGCTTCATCCTAAAACTTCTTGCAACTTACCCACCCAATATGTAAATAACATGAAAGATCCAAAAATCCGAGAGGTAAAGTTTGTTTCTCACTCCAATCGTCGACCTCACTTCGCCCCATGAATCATTGAAGTGAATGCCAGAACGGAATGTCGACTTGTCAAAGGCTATCTCACACGACTCAAATGACCTGCGCTATCAGAAAACACCATCTTTGAGATGCCACCTGTGATGCCATTTGGACACAAAGTGGTGCCACCTCAATGATTGCGGCACAAAATTGGGTCCGCTGGCATCAATTAGTGTCAAATAGCGTCGCAGTTGGCATCGCAAGAAGGTCGGCTTCTACTGGTGCGGCTTTGCTTTGACGGTCATCTTCCTTCCCCCTTCTTCCTGGAAGGAGCCACGGGATCCTGAAAACCGAAACTCTCTTGGCCCGTGCCCTCCTACGAGCTCTTCTTTCCCTGAACCCCCAATGGCATCGACATGTCCAGCTCGTGTTCAACGGCGACGTCTTTTGTGGCGGCCCGCTTAGAGCTCCACAGTGCTCTTCTCATCAGCAGATTCCTCTCGGCCCCCTTTGGGGCACGTTGGGCGCGAAAATTGGCTGTTTCAAGAACGTGCTTGACGACGACCCATTGCTGTGGCACGGCGTCCCGGTTGTGTCCGCACCCGCTGACGCCTTTTCTCCGCGGCGCATTGCTATCACCCGCGCCGTACACCGCCCATCGTTCATTGCCGGCGCTCTCGAACTACCGACTTTCAGTTGAAGTATGACGCACCATTGTGCGGATGGCAAGGAACTAGAATATGCACAACAATACCGATAATGCAATCAAAACATGGAGCTGAAACCAAGATCTTCAAACGCTCAAACCTGGATTGTGTCGAGCATGTGTCTGCCATCGGTTCCTGTGTTTCAGCTTCTATCTGCAAAATAGCAGAGCGGCAGGTCGCAGCTGTGCAAGCGGTTGCCAACTTCTCCAAATTTGATTGTAGACGAGCTCAAATTGGAGAAACTGATTACTCCTATTTCGCTCACAAAGAGCAAACTTAATTTGTGGGAACCACTTCAGCTATGCATGGTGATGCATAAACAAAATGCGCTTTACGTAATTTGCGGCGTTCATCTGCCGCTCGTTAGAAGGCATGACGTGACTGCGCCAGGCAGTTCTATTCAACAGCTGCGAAAGCCTTGGACGAAATAGCAAACTTGACAGAAATTGGTATTAATGCGCAAAACGCATGCATTAATCCACAATGGAAAGCAATTACCGACATTCAATTCCGGCCATGTCGTCTCCTTCCCTGGGAACTTGGTTAACCAGCGCTAAAAGCTTCAGGCAGGCAGTTCATCATCCATTGTGATGAGTTATGCGCTAATTATAAGCAAATTTTCGAATCGTGGTACTTCTTGAAAATGTACAGTATGGATTAGATTTTTGTGTAACCAATTAGGCTGATCTAATTGTATGTTTTAAACAAAAACAATTGACAAAACCAACGTGGTTTGAACAATATATGCTGCAGTGCAGACTGTTGCCCAATCAATTCAGCTGAAACTACGCTGAACTTTGCAGATAAACTTCCAAAAGTTTGCCCAGATTCACCTTCCCATACTCTTCCACCACTTCGGCATTGAAGGAAGCGGAGACAGTGCTTGATCCGCTGGCCTCGCGGCACAGCATCCTGTGGACGAACATCCTAAGCAAGGAGATCTCCTTGCTCTAGAGCTCAAAAAGAAAGGCTCGCAAAAACCGAGGTCCAAGACATCGTGCACTGGTGCACGTTCCGCGAGAGATGGCAAGATGGGAACGCGAGACGCTGTTGGGAACTGCTAGACCCGGCTTTAGCCTGAGTCAGAGTATCTGAACTAGGAAGAAAAGGGCCAAATAACACGTGTTCAATCGTGTGCAAAGTTTACTGGTTTGCGTTATTTTTGCGTTCTTAGCGTGCAGAACTTTGATGAAATGAGTTTTATGAGTGTTCGCAAAAGTGTTATTTGGCCCTTTTGTTCCTAGCGCTGGTCCTCTGTTCCAAAGAGTCAGGATCGCTTGTATTAGCGCATTCTGCGTACTTGTGCAGGTGTGTGCAAAGCCCTTCATTTCTCATGAGCTTCCTGTACGTGCTCTTTGCGTGACCCCAACCCATCCCCCATCCACTGGCCTCTTTTAATCCTTTAGGGCTATCCTGTTCAATTTAGAGAGCTTCTATAACCCCAATTTTAGATTTTTTCTAATTCTCATTTACATTGGATAACTTGATTAGAAGCTGTTTTGGGAAAAGCGGTATAAGATTCAGTATTTCACAGCACTTGTGTGCACCAATTTATCCTGAAGGAGACTCGAATTCTAACAATCAGAAATTGTAATAGAAGAGCATTTACTAAAAAGCCTTGACAGTTCTATCAAGGCGTTTCTAAACGCCTTCACCAAGCAAAGGCTCTTCTATCCTTCCCTCCGAGGCGAAACGATACCGAAGCTCACAAATCGCACTACGATTCTGACTCGGGAGCCTGAACCTGAACCACAGTCGTCCCCCGCCCTACACGTCCCCACCACAGGTCGTCGCCGGGCACCACGGGGCCCGGCGCGGCGCCGCTCGGCGCCCGACTCGCCCATGGCCCTCGCTGATGCCCTCCTCCAGCATCTGGGCGCCCGGTTCGCCAGCCCCGGCCTCGAGACCCAGTACCGGCGGTTCCGAGCATCCGGATACTTCCTCAAGGGCGACGGCCTGAGGGCGGGCGTCCAGTGCGCGATCCTGGCCACCGGCTGGCTGCGACGTCTGCACAGGGAGGGCGCCACGCTAGGCACCGTGGCCGCGTTCTCCGTCCTCATCGGTCCGGTGGTCCAAATTCTGATGAAGTGGTCGGCAGAGAGGCGGGGTGGGGGCCCGGCGACGCTGGAGGCCCACGTGCGGCACAGGCTGGCATTCGCTTGCCTGTGGCGCGTGGCGGTCATGCCGGCGATGGGCGCGATCTGCTTCGTCGACTACTTCAAGCCGCCTGGCGCCGGGGCGCGCGGCGGGCAGGTCGCGATGTACATCCTCTTCGACACGGGCACCGTGGCGCTGTTCATGAACTGCGTGACCTACCCGCTGCTGCTGGAGCACCACCTGTGCCTGCAGCCGCTGGCCACGGCCATGATGGCCCTCTGGTGCGGATGGCCGTTCTGCCGGCAGGCTGCGAACACCCCAGACGGGTCGGAGACCGTGCTGTCGGCGTGGAGATCGCTGGACGCCGCGTCCTGCGGACTCCTGTCGGCCGTGCTAATGGGGGACGTGACCGGCGCCCTTGAGCCGCCCGCGCTGCCCGCATGCCGCCAGGTGGTGCTATCCGCGTACGCGGCTATGTGCCTGGGCGCGGCGACGTACATCCTGTGGGCGATGGAACGCCGCTCGCGGGTGGAATTCCTGGACGTGCGGATGCGGGAGGGGCTGGGAGGCGGCGAACGGGAGTGGGCACCGGTGGGGTCAGAGGTCGTGTTCCACGGCGTGCTGGCGGCGGTGGGCGCGGCGCTGGCCTGGCGAGGCCTGGGCGCCGCCCTGTGGGATCCGGGGCCAGCCGCGGATTCCGGCTGCGGCGCCCACGAGCGGGGAGGGATGTGAGGCCCGACGCGCCGGGGTTTAGAGACGGGGGCGGGTACGTCCAGTTATCCATGCGTCGGTCAACGCAGAGACGTCGGCGGTCGCGCGGCGGTTTGTTTCGGATTGGGGGTTGAGGTTGGATTTGCTTGCTCCGAGGGTGGAGAGAGAGAATATAATGGTCCCCGCGTCTTTTCCGCGAAGATCCCTTTTTCTTGTGCTCGCAAGGCCAACGTGGGTCAGTGGGTCAGTGGTTTGGGATTTGGGGTGTCGAAACAAGAACCGCAACGAAGACAGAGGGACTAGTTTCATGCCGCTTTGGATTGGATTGCTTTCCGAGGGTCGAGAGATTGGGAGCTTGTTAGTTTCGGATAGTCGTTCACCTGCGAGTGGCACCCCCCTTGGTTTTGTTTGTCCAGTCCTTTGCTGCGACGAGGCCGGCGAAGCCGGAGCAGCAATTCGGTGTTCTCTCCGATCTGGTTGATGGACGGTGCAGCGTGGAGAGCCTCGTGAGATGCCCGTTGGGCGACGTGACCGCCTGGGAGGCGTTGGTCAATAATGTTCTCATCTGCGCCACGGCCAGCACGACAATAGTAATGCTATCCTGCTGTGAGGTGCATATCTGGACTTGTAACTGCTTGGGATTTGCAGAGGAGTTCTTTTCTGCTTGTCTGCATCGTAGTGCTTCTGACTTCTTGCTAGTTGCCCCAATGTGACTTGCCCCACTCGCTCCCCAGGGTAGCTCTAAACCGTTTTGTGACTTTGTGCTTCAAGTATGAATAAGACGCGTCGCTGTTTGTAATGGCAAGAGGCTCCCCACAACATTTGAGTACGTTATGCACGTGGTGGATGGCCTCAGTGTGTGAATTAATGGGTAAGCCACCACCACTTCTCACTAGCAAAAAAAAGGACCAAATAACACTTTTGCGAACACACGTACATTTCATCAAAGTTCTGCACGCTGAGAGCAAAAAAAAAACACAAACCCGTGAACTTTGTACACCTTTGAACACGTTACATTTGGCCCTTTTTCTCCTAGTGTCTACAGCTCAAATGGGCATATGTCCAATCCATAGCCCCAAGCACGGGGCACTCGCAAAGCTACGCAGCCAGATTCTCTAAGGAAAACCACCACAGCCCCAACCGAAGGTTCAAGAGCTGAACTCAATTATTGGGCTGGCTTAGTGATTACCTTTGATGGGCGGCCCCACTCTTCTCTTTTCGTGTTTCACCGAATCACCATCAGCTGGTTAATACATGTGTTGTATATGCCCAAGGGGACGGAGTGTTGTCCATTGTGCGCGACCTCATCATGCAACCTAAATGTCACAATGCACAGTAAGCAAACGTAAATACAGCCGCAAAAATGGCCGCATCTGTGTGTTTGCTTTTTTGCACGTAAATGTGCAAAACGTGAAAACGTAAACGTAAATGCAAATAACAGGTTTGACGGGCACTGCACACAGTCGGCACCGTGATCGCTGAGCCACCACACGGGGGCATCCACGGTCGCAATCCCGTCATATGCACTGCCAATGCAGTATGGTGTAAAGATTGGAGTCAAAGTGCCGCGGCAAAGGGAGACACGCTGACAGATTGTTAGACAAATGAAAAGAAACTCGACGGCAACGACAACAAATGAGGGAAATCATTAGTTGTACGGAACAAGGCCACATGGGCACAAACGAAATTAACAGCTACGGCAAAGAAGTCACGGCGTGTTCGAAAACGACCCTGAAGCGTTAAGTACTCACAGAATTCCACCAAGCGTCTCAATTGACAGCCTCTGAGGCTGGCCCCATCGCCTGCCATCAATCCAGCAGCACAATTAACAAAACTGCAATCGCGGTAGCTTTGGCTACTTGCTTGCTTGCCTTGCAGATACATTTTGCTTCATGCTATTAGGTCAAGGACAAGGACTCTCCCTGTTGATTGACGGCATAACTTGCCAGGCGCAGTGCAACTCGTGGGAAACTGGGAGGGGGGGAAACTGACTGGAAGTGAACGGACATTGAGACACAATGTAAAAACTTTGTTTGGAACTCAGCCCAACATCGCCTGCAAGGTGCCAGGCTGTGTTTTGCCAAGTTTGTTCGACTGATGTAATCAATGGCTTTGGGATATCAGTTAGCTTGGCAGGTTGTCCTAGAATAAAAATCAATAAAAAGCTTGTGTAATCAATAAAAATCAATAAAAGGCTTGTGGGTGACGGTGCTGGAATGGAAGGGGGAGGGGAGCTCGGCTAAAAGTCAGTTTCACGACAATGCCAAGCAAAATCGATGCAGCGCGTAAAGAAGGCATGAAAAAAAGAAAACAAAGAAAACAAAGAAAAAAAGGCACGTGGTCCATTAAGTACGGACCCAAACCGGCTTCCGCGCAGCGCAGCGAGGCTCCCAACACTCGACGCGGCTCCTGGCCCCCTCCCCCCCCTTTGGCCTCCAGTACCCCCCTGAGGCATCCACATCGCCCCCGCCGGCGCCGCCCGGCATCCCCTGCGGGGTGCAAAGGCCCCGCTCCCTCTTTCGAAGGCAAACTTGACCATAGGATTGCCCAACAAAGGAATTTCAAGGAAGAGGACGAAGGAATTCAGAACAGAGGAGTTTGGCGGGCATCGCCATGGCGAGGGGCGACGCCGGCGACGCCGGCGAGGAGCCCAGCCCGATGGACGTCGAGCGCAGGCCGCTCGTGGTCAGTGACGGGGAGGAGCCGTCATGGGCGAAGAATGGGAGAACTCGGAAGTGGCGTGCCCGAAACCCGAGATGCGGTGCGAGTTGCTGCGCAGTTTCCGGGGGTTGATTATTCCTTCACAATGGTGCCCCCTCTCCACTATTTCCCCCTGCTATTGTGGAGAGGCCTCACTGATATGCCATGAAAATTCAGCATTTGGTGCAGAAGTATCGTCGGCTGCACGTATCAGAAGACACGCCATGTGTGTGCCTTTTCACTTGTTGGACGATGCCGAGGGATATCTTCATCGGCAGGTGCCTGTCTTCTCAGGGTGGCCTTGTTTCTTTCCCCCTGCCGGTTGGTTATGTTCATTTCTGGTTGCAAAGGCTCATTCAAAAGAAGATTCTGTTGCATAGTGTGGAATGAATTTCCCGTTTGCCTTCAAGACGGGCGATGGAAGTAACGCGGTGATTTCCTTATGTTAATCAGCCAGAGACAATTACAAACAGAGGGCTTGGTCCTTGCAAGATGCCATCGCCACAGAAACATCAAATCGTTGTTGGGTGAATGTCCCAAATCTGCATTGTGGACCAAAATAGGACAGCTCAGTGCAGAAGAGCAGTATTGTGATGCAAAAAGCAGGAAACTGTGTTGATGGCCAGCCAAGTGGTTTGGAGGTTGGACTGCTGTGCTGTTGTTTTGATTCTAAGTTCGGGTCTTGGTCCCTTGCGCTCAGCCAAGGTCATCATTGGAACTGGTTTGGGGCTGCTGGTGGTGCTGATCGCAATGGGAATTGCAGCCATGCACATGTGAGTAGACTTGCATTACCAGCATCATCTCATTTGAACTGAAGTGTAAGCCTGGAAGTAAAGGTGCCTACTTGCTGAATGCACACATTTTGCTTCATCGCTTTGCAGTTGCCTGCATGTGTATCATGACAGCAAAGAATGGCTGTTAAGAGATGCACATGAGCACAATGACAACCTCAGCTTCCGCAGCATCGAATAATTCTCCCCTGCTGCAATTTGTCCCAGGGCACCGTCCTTGCATCTGTTCATCAACGTCAGCTACCACCCATAGCAAGAAAAGGATGTGGAAGATGCATTGGTGCCGACAGAAACATGTTATGCAATCGATGTTTGTTATCATTTCCAACACAAAGCATTTTAACCAGTCTGGCTGTGTCAAACTCAGTGGAAGAGAACATAGGGACAATACCAAGTTGTGTACTCAATTCAGCATTCTGTGTCCCCCGCACCACATCATAGCCAAACCCCTTTTGGACCAAGATGGGTTTTAGACCCTCACCCTTGCTTACTATGTGCAAGCTCCTGAGCGCCAGAGGAAAACATACTGAACACAACAGAATGCACACAGCACTGAGACATGCACTGACAGGGACACACATCAGCCGTGGTGCTGATGGGACTTGGTGGCTGGAGCACATGTGCCATTTTGGGTGCTCTAACTGTCCCTTTGTGGAATTTCTTGGGCTGAGCTGCATATGTTGCGATCAGTTGGCGCACAAAGTGGAACCGAGGCGATGCAGACATCAGTTCATCCGCCTTCCAATGTTCTGAGAACTGTACCACCGTTGATCATTCGTTGTGGACCAGGGTGTTGAGCAGGTAGGTAGGTCCAGAGATCTGTACAACTGGAACATTTGCAAGCATTGGACTTGCAGTCTGAAAACCTGCTCCTGAAAGAATTTGTTGTCACTTGACCATCTGCTTCTGTTGCGCCAGCAATGCAGTGTCAGGGGGCTCGCCCTCCTGAGTAGGGACATCTATGACTCCACCCATGGAATTTATTACATGTTAAAATAATAATAAATAATTCCCCATTGCGTATATTTGTATGCCCTTCCTTTGTTTTTCTGATCCTTGCTTCGTCCATTTATTTTTGGGCTCAATTGCAGATGTCAAGGTGTTTGTCATTTGGCTACATGCAGCATATGGCAGGCTCTTTTCCGACAATGCACTAGCAACTCTGCTTTTGGGAAAAGTGATGTAGGGTTCAGTACTTTGCTTTCATGAACTTTTCGGTAAGGTTCAGCACTTCTTTTCGGTACCTGTTTGTACTAAATTGTCCTGAAAGAGCATTCAGTATTGTTAGTATTCTGCTGGAACTGCAGGCTTTGAGCAGTCTGTGTTTGAGTCTAAAAGCACACAAACTATTCAAGGGGCCATGACTTTCAGCAACCATTCAGGTATGAAATGGCTACAGCACTGTTGGATGTTCTTCCCTTTTACCTGAGAATGGCGTGGGATTTCTGTCATTCCGTGTACAACCATCGACTGTTGGCTTCCCTTCTTGCCCCTTCACAAACGATATTTCATCACTCCACTAATCATTCCAAGAACCGATTGCATATTGATTCAAACATCTAGCGTTAAGCACCCACTTGAAATCGAAAACATCTCAGGCATGGGCCAAGTGGCCCAGAACTCCTGGGGCATTTGCTCAGTGTGCAGCATCCTTCAGACAAGTGGGCCACCAGCCTGGCACTGTAGAAATGTTACCTGCAGCAGCTATTGTGAAGTATTTTGTTGCATGCTGTGCTCCTCGGATTGGCAGCATAGCTGCCCTGCAGCTTTGGACATTTCTTGGTCTTGAGACATGGGTAATGTTCTTTCCATGTCATGGTACCCAAACCTTGACACTGAAAGTGCCCAGGTACTGCCCATTGCATGCTGACTAGGGTTTACCTGCGTTCTTGGGTGTAACCTTCTGAAATTATGGGTACCTGTGTGCTGGTTTGGCAAATTTGGCATCATCATTTTGATGTGTGGCTCCCGTTGTACCCAACATGTGAGCATCAGCCATCAGTCATCGGAAACCATCAAAGAAATATCATGCGAAGCAGCTCGCTGGTCCCGAAGACCAGCGCCAAGCTCAGTGTGTGTCATTCAAAGTGTATGGCAGCGACCTAGTACTTTGGAACACAAGCAGTGGCAGAATCCACAAAGTACTTTGCTGTGAGTTGTGATGCTTCAGGTGGCAGCATTTCTGCCGCACTGTTTTGCTTGTTTATTTCGCCAGCTTTGGGGCCCAGCGATTTCCACTGAGTGCGTGTTGTGTGCCTCCCATCAGCTGCGTTGCGCCTGGCTATGTATCAGGCGACATCCCATATACTGCATTCAACTACACGAGATTGACACCAGGTGGCGATTCAAGTGTAATGCAAGACTTCAGGGCTTATCTGGTGAGCATCGGCCAGTGTGTTGATGTTGGAGATAGCTGCAATTCATGCGATGTCATGTGTATATCATACAGTGCATCGTTGCCACATACCCAGAGCTGCGGTTGCCACCCACCCAAATATTTCCTGAATCTTTGCCAGACAATTTGCTTGCTGTGGCTGTTTCCAAAACGTCTGTCGTGTGCTGTTTCTTGCCAAAAATCAAATTCGCTGGGTTGATCAACTGGTGGTTGGTTTTCTATATTTGCTCTGCCAGTTGGTAATCAAAGGGCCACACGTGTTGTTCCTGATGTACACATTGCTTGGAACCCTTTGCTACGTTGTCAAAGAACGTTTTTGCATTTGCACCTTTCTGGTTGCTCCACAAGTGCATCTCCATCGACATCGTCATCATCATAGTCATCAACATCCATCACCCAATTCGAGTCCAAACGCTTATTCAGTAGAGAAAATAAGGAAGCCCATTTTGTGGAAGTGGGGTACCTGATGTTACAGTACTTGATTGAAGCATCAGGCATCACGGTTCCGCAAACATGGTCTCACATGTTCACCTACTTTGTGGCAGGGGGCGGTCATGTACGGCGTGTTTCCTTTTCATTTGCAATGCAATTCTCCATTCCAAACACACTAGCAATCTTGCCCATCTCACACGCCCTCTGCGCAGTCCAAGCAGTCTAAGCAATCTAAGCAGTCTAAATTGCAGAAAGTGTACAGGTACTTCCAATCTGTCTATTTGATGTAATCAAACATTTTGCAGAACCAGTTCACTTGCATCGTTCACTCAAATTGTTAACTTCATTAACTTACATTCATTAACTCAGCGGTGTTTCAATTTAGCAAGACAATAACTTGGCTGTGCACATCGCGTCTAGACAAGGCCATACCGTGTAACGCTGGCCGTGTGATCTGTCGCTATTTCCACCAGTCACAGATCTTCAACGAACGGTTGCCACCCAGGATCGCATACAGAACACCGATCTGGACTCGCTGTCTCCCGACGAATCCCTGCCCTTCGCCATCAACGCTTACAACGCCTTCGTCGTCAACATGGTGGTCTCGCACTTCGTCCGCGCCGAGGGCAGCATCAGGGACCTCACGAGCGTCCTGCACGGGCCGGTGTGGAAGCGGGTTGCCGGCAGGCTCAGGCAGACGGTGGACGGGGCGGCGCGGGAAGTGGAGGTGTCGCTCGACGACATCGAGCACCAGATCATCAGGGGGAGGCTGACTAAGTGAGTGGGGCGCGGCTTTGTTGGGCAAAAGGTACTTATCGTAGTGTGTTCAACCCTCCTGCATCAATGATCTTTGCAGCTGCGCTTTTTGCTCCGCATTTTGTTCAGAGCGTTGTTTTTATACCTCGTTTCTTTGCTTCGCAAAATGCGTTGTTATTTTATTTTTTACTCCGCAGAAAAGGCCAAACGTTATGTTGCCATGCAGAGGGGTTGAATGTAGCACGGTAAGGGGTTGGACTACCCTCTTCCTGCCCCTGGTCCAGGTGGTTGGTAGAGCAGTGGGACGCCCCACCCGGAGATACCCGGTTCGATCCCCGATCAGACGTCCTCTTTACCGTCCACACTTCAACAGGCTGCCTTAGGACTGGTCGACACGTGCAATTGCAGAAGGGCGGCAATTTTTCGCAGTTCTGTTCGCGTTAGAATTGTGCCGAATTGCTGCTGCTGGTCGTGCTTGAAACGTCTGAGCTTTGTTAAATTGTCGGCAAGGTGCAGGCACTTCAAGGCACGGACATTTGCCGATTGTGCATACGTTATTAATTGCCGCGGCAATAATCGCTATCAGCAAGACACAGGGCTTGTGCTTCCCGAAGTGGAAAAATTGAATTCTCTCACGTTGGTGCCTGGTGGCCTGAGAGGCATCCTTTGTCTGAAATGCCAAATTATGTGTTGTGATTTAAGAACTAAGCAGTGCTTCTTCAAGACATGACTCTTTCCTTCATGCAAGACGATTGGCCTTGCTAATTCACGATTTGCATATTGATACAATACGATTATAGATAAGTATCTTACATGTCCGATATTGTCAACGTACGTTTGCTAATGAACGATGGCAATTGCTCCATTTGTGTCAGTGGATGACGCCCTTCGTGCTCTGCAGCCACAAGGAGCCGCGCATTCACTCAACCGTGAACTGCGCCAGCATCAGCTGCCCGGACCTGCGACCCGAGGCGTTCACGGCCAACGGACTGGATGCCCAGCTGGATGAGCAGATGCGCGCATGGATGGCCAACGCGGGGAAGGGCCTCAAAGCGGACAACCAAAGCAACAGGTGGGCCCTAAGGGACCATCAGTTATGGACTTATATTTACTTGTACTCACACTTATTTACACTCACCCGTACTTCCTTATGCTTCCTTATACTTACTTCTACTTACGTTTGCAGTTCGTTGGCCAGTTCTGGAATTTTCTCGAATTCATCTTGGCCTTGTGCGGTATTTCGAGGTGGTGGTACACGGCTTTTTGTCCTGGGCCAAGAGTTCGAGATGGCATCTTGAATCGATTGTTTGCAATGAGCGGAATGGGGGCGAGTGTGGACAATCATTGAGCCAGGTCACCTGGCCCAGGTGGACCAAACCGCGCATTCACTGTGCACATGGCGATTCAGAATTTTGATTTTGGCACAGAATCCAAACATCTGATATAGGAAAGCAGCAAGCTGCCCGAATCCTTGAGCCAGTTTGCGCCCGGAAGAGTGTTGGCACGTTCCTTTCTGGAAGGATCCGAAATGGACAAGTTTGTGAACCGTGGGTTACTAAATACTAAATGCTATAAATTGCTAAATACTAAATGTTACTAAATTACTAATTGCTAAATACTAAATGTGGTCTTGCGTGCTGCCAGCCTGTACCTGTCCAAGATCGTGGACTGGTATTCTGGCGACTTCAAGGGCACTGGGATGGCGCCAGAGCTGTACCTCGCGCAGTTCGCGCCCCAAGAGGCGGCCGCCTTCATTCGAGACAGACGGCCGTCGGTGCAGTACTTCGGATACGATTGGAATCTGAATAGCGTCGAGCACGGGGTGGTTCAGATGCCGTGATCCGCGGTGGCCGCGAATCGCTGGCCGCCATGCCGTCGGGCGGATTGCCATGTTGGCGACATGCTTGGGCATGTTTGGTGGGGAGCGGGGCAAGACAGCAGTGATGAATGAAAGAACAGATAGGTGGGGAGGCGGGGAAGGGGGGGTGGGGGGGTGTAAACACAGTAACGGAAAAGAGCAGTTTGGGAGGGAACGTTTGTAGCGGTGAATGGTGCCTAACGTGAGAGGGCGTTGATTTGCGATCTCTGTGCAAACGTTAACAGTTTTTGCCCCTTATGTCTTTTGTTCATGTCTTCTGTTTCCTTTCCCGCCTCTTCCGACATCTGCAATCAGAAGACTTGGACAGCACGCCCCGCCTGGCGTCATCCGGAGCTGAATGTGCGCCCCTTGCGCCATCAAAGTAAACAGAAATATGCAAACGCTTGACAGGCCGGAGGCCGCCGCTGTGCCCAACCACCCAATTTAGGTGGTCCAAACTCGACCCAATAACCGCATCCCAAACTAAGGCTACCCCTCTCCCCCTGCCAAACTCCAGCGCCCTTGACAGAAATCCGTCATTACCTCTGGCAGAACTGCACACAGCACCCCGGACAGATCTCCGCCGGAACCTCCAGCAGCTTTCCGTCGAAACAGGCCCGGCTCTCCCTCCGACAAGTCGCGCCTGAAAGCGTCCCCGCGGCGCCACACTACCCCCCCAAGAAAAAGAAAAAAGGGAAGAGAAAAAAGGATGAAAATGCTAAAAAAGAGAAAAATAAGAGGAAGAAAGCTGCATTCGCCGGATTCTGCAACACTCGCCACAGGCACCTTCCACCCTCCATCCCAACCAGTGTAACAGAGCCTCACATACACTTGCCCAGGAGGGGCTGCCCTTTGCGCGACTTGTTTCTCTTCCTCTTGCAACAAACCTCGCCCTCCCACCCAACCTGTTGCCCTCTCGACGAACGCAATCCTCCGCCCCGCCCATCCCCTCACGCCTTCTTCCGCCCTCCCCGCATCTTCACGTCCAGGTTCAGCACCACCCTCGCCGACACGTTGTAGTGCGCCAGGCTGAATTCATCCATGAGGAAGCCCACGCCGTCGCGGCCCAGCTTCTGCTTGTTGGCGGGCAGCCCCAGGACGGTGGCCAGGCGGGCCTTGAACTGGCCCACGGTGTCCCGCAGGGAGGCGACCTCGACCTCCAGCATCTGGCCGCGCAGCTCGGGGTTGCCGTCCACCTTGGGGCACTGCACGCGGACCTGGGAGGGACACGAGGGAAGGAGTGTTTGCAAACGGTTTGCGTGCACGCACTTTGGTGTTTGTGAAGATTTCTTTTGTTGGCCAATTGTGCTTCGCTACAGGTTCCTTGATGAGTTCTTTTGCCAGCTGTTCCCTCCCTCTGACTTCCTTGGTGCTGCGCGCGGATCTGGGCGGGACACGAGAAAGAGGAGTGTTTGCGCTTGCGCATGTGCGCTCGCGTGCGTGCTTGTCAATGTTCATGAAGTCCTTTTTGTTGGCCAGTTGTGCTTCAGTACAGATTCCTTGATGAATTCTTTTGCCCACCATTCCTTCATTCAAATTTCCTTTGTGCTGTTGTTTTACTTATCTTAAATTCAAGGAAATATGTGTGTTGGTTTGTTGGTTATTATGTAATTCAAGAGAAAGGCGTGCAGCGGATTTCATATGCGCAGCGCAGGTGCAAGGGACGATGTGTCACTCAGGACCAGGGCACTGGAAAACACAAAAATATCCAGTTATCATTCATCCAACAGTTGTTTCATTCAGTGTTTAGCATTAGTTATCCAACAATTAACCTGCAATCCATACATTTTGCATTCAACATCCAGCCGATCCACACATGACCACCAATCGTCGCCCACGACACAGACATCCAGCACTGGATCCAGCACTCTGCTGGCGCTGTGGCCCTCACCTTTGCAGGTCCTGCCGACTCTGTCATCAGGAACTCCTCCTCCGGCCGCAGCACGAACTCCAGCCGTGCCTTCTTGGCCTCCGGCTCGTCCGCTGGCATGGGCGGCGGCGCCTCTCGGGGCGGCAGCGGCGGCGGGGGCATGCGGGCGCTGGTCATGGGGGGGGCGGGAGGCCGCTGGGCCAGGGGGTGGGGCTGGGGCCGGACCTGAGGGAAGAGGTGCATGTTTTCAAGCTGTGAAGTTTGTGCATACCAGACTTTGTGTGCATGTGAATTCATTGACGGCAAAGCAAGGAGGCAGCCATCAGCTTCCTACTTTGCTCAGGCAAAGTAGTGTGCATGATTTATTTATTGGGATTCAATGCACGACACAAAATCCACAATCCATCGAATCATAATTTGCGACAGGTGTTTGCCTATGACAATACACTGAAACAAGCATTGGCAAGCGGTAACAGAATCAACACGTGTTTCTGCACTGCTCTGCCCCTCCCATTTCACTGCCTCACTATTCCACGCACTGCTTCCCCAACTGTTCACTTTGTCATTTCATTCATACCTGGCTGGAGACCATGGGGGGCGGCCGGGCCATGGGCGGTCGTGCGGGCACCATGGGTGGCGGCATGCCAGTGTTGGCAGACACCATGCTGCGCGGCACCATGGGGATGGGCGGCGGGCGCGGTGCCTGCTGCGGCGGTTGGCCGGCCAGCTCCGAACTGTGGGGGCGCTGCTGGGAGTGGATGTTTGTCATGGGGGGTGGCCGGTTGTGCATGGCGCCCATCATGCTGCCACCTGTGGCGAGAAAGGAAACAGGGCCTGAGCAGGAATGCATGGGGATGGGCGTGTGTGATAACAAGTGCAGTGTTTGTGTGTCAAGCACTGGGGAAAGGTGCGGCAGTGCTGTGGTCCTTAACAATGGGTGGGAGTCATGACTGCAAAATAACTTGTGTCGCCCCAAAAGCACTGGGTCAACGAACAGTATGGCAGATGAGATACTAATATAGTGCTAGTCCTTTGTCGCAGCAGTGACAAAGAGCGATGCAGTTTATTGCATAAATTGAACAATTCAATCAAGGAAACAACTGCCAATTTCTTGGCAGCGTCATAGCCAGAACAGCCGGCATCAAGGACACGTGCCTTCTCTTTCATTATCTTATAATTCACTTCAATATGAAATGCCTGTGTTGAACGGCGATCCATTCCGCGCAACAAACCCCTGTACAAAACGGCCAATTTCTCGCCATCATCCTACCTGGGACAGCGGGCCTCATGGGCATGGGCGGCCTGAGGCCAGGGGGCCCCATCTGTGCCCTGCGATCTGGCGCCACAGGCTGCGTGTCCTTCCTCTCCTGTCGCGAGTCGTTGATGGCCTTCAGCTGCGTCTCCAGGCCCTGGCCACTCTGGGTCACGCCGTCCCACACCACCGGGCGGTTGCTGCCCGACATCATCTTCTCCTTGATGGACGTGCGCACCGCCTGGCTGACTTCCTCCTGGGTGGAACCTGTGGGAAGGCAACGGGCAGCACGGAGTCAATTGTGGATATGCGCCCAAAACTACTGCTCAAGCACTCTTGTGATTGTTGGCTTTTGGATTCCAACGTATTACATCTTGGAGTAAAAGATGGATTGGGGTTGGTGTTGGGCTCATCAGTGCTGCAGAGTACAAGAGCTCGGATGTTATATGGGTTGCTGATAGACTGCAACCGGAGAACTCCCTCGCCAGTGCTCACTTCTCTTTGACAAAATTACATCGACACCTGAGTTGTCACGCCACTGGCCACTGCAGACACAACCAAATACATCCACATCGACGCCACGATCTTTGGATCAAACAACTCAGCATCTCTGACGCACCAAAGATGTCGGGCCGGGTCTTGGCCAGCATGACCAGGTTGCGCCCGATCTCGTCGTCGTGCGCCTTTGTGGTCTCCCTGATCTTTGCCAGCATGGCCTCGCGCTGCTCCTTCCAGCGGGGGTCGATCAGCGACACGCGCATATGCTCCTCCATCTCCTCGATCCTGACCAGCTCGCCAGTAATGGGCGACACGGCAAATTTGCCAGGGTCGTATGACGGTGTGTCCTTCGATTTCTGCACAGCAGAGTCAACCTAGTCGATGCTGTTTTTGACCAATCTGAAGTGCAGCACTGCCCATTTTTCATTCTTCAGTGCACCGTTGGCAATCACCCAGATTGCCGCAAGCTGGCAGAATGAAGCAGTTGGGTTTGTGTACCGCACCATGAAGAAAAGGGCCAAATAATGCATGCTCGAACGTGTGCTAAGGTTGTTTCCATGTTTTTGGCATGCAGAATATCGATGAAATCCATGTATATGCGCTCACTAAAAGTGCTATTCAGTCCATTTTTTGCTAGTGCCAGCTATCGCTGTCTGGTGGCATGCCAAACAAAAAAAACAGAAAACTGACCAAAATAGAGCTCAATAGCGAAGCGAATACAACCTGCTGGCAACTACCAGGTATCACAATGCACAGTGCTGAATTGATGACACGTACTTCAGCTGTACAACAAACACAGTTCTACAAGCAGTATTAGCCAGCAGTGTCAATAACAATATTAATGAAACGGCATCAGTTCACACTGTTCTGTATTGCTTCCAGCATCTGTCCTGCACCCAACATGTGCATATGTGTGAGGGTTCTGGGCACAAGGGCCACCCAGGTGACGGGCCTGGAATTACTCTTGTGCTCTCAAACAGGGGCCCCCACTGTGCAGCCGTCACCACATACTACCCCCACTACACCCATCACCATGTACTGCCCCCACTGCACTGCCACCACTGGGGGACGGCTCTGCTCTGCCCCATGCAACAGAAAGTCAACCACAAACATCTTCACCAGTTTTGCAAGTGTTTTGGCCATCTCATTTTGAGCCCTCAACAACCAAAACCAAAAGATGGACAGCAACATGAAAAACAGGCATAACAGTACACAATATGCGTAGAGCTGAATGTGCCACTCACTGGTCTGACGTAGTTCTTGACAACCCTGATGGGCTCGTCGTCCTCCTCCACAGTCTGCACAACCGCTGCTGTGGATGGCTCATCAGGCGCCTTCTTTTCTGGAGCGCTGACCGCAGGCTTCTCAGCAGCCGCATTGGCCTCTGCCACCAACGCCTTCTCCTCCTCATCCATCTCCATCTCCATCTCCTGCAGCACCACCCACTGGTTAGGCAGAGAGAGGAAAAGGGGTAGAGAGAAAGGGGCGAGAAGAGAACATAGGCACCATTGAGGGCCCTTGGTGACCACGTCGAAAAAAGCCAGAGAGGCAGCGATTGCTTGAAACAGGTGCAGCAAGGGACAAAGGAGGTGGATGGGACTCAGTTTAGTGATGGCCGCTCCCAAACAAGGTGGGCAATGAAAGAACGCTATACCATAAACCCCATTTGGCACAGGCTTCCTTCTTCGCACAATTTCTCACCACATGTGAGCGATGGTGAGCATGTCATAGTTGGGTGTTGGCAATGGGGCACATGGCAAGCAGGGCCGCATCAGGGCGGTTTTCTGACAAGCATCCCCTTCCAGCCTTTGCGACAACAAGCAAGTCACAAAGGCCAGAAGAAAGGAAACAGTTGCTGAGTAAACACTTGCCGCTGTTATTCACAAATTCTTAATATTATGACTACCAATCAATCGATTGTAACGTGTCCACTACACATTCACCAATAACGTAATCACATCCACACACAATTGATTGGTAATGCAAACAAACTACCAAGAAAGTGGTGAGCTGGCACGGGGACCCGTACCTCATCTTCTGCATGCGCATTAGCGGCCTCCTCCCCTGCCTCACCCTCTGCTTCGTGCTCAAAGGGCCTTGCCTTGTTCAAAGCCAGCACGTCTTTCAAAGACATTGGTGGCGGCAGGTCCGCGTCCTCATCATCATGGAAGTCGATCGTCTCCACAACAACGAAGTTGTGCCTGCGTGCCGATGTGCAGGACACACATGCTTTGATACTGATGCCAAACTGGTGCAGATCTAATGGCCAGCCAATTACCTGCCCCTGTCTTCAATCGATGCCAGTCTAATGCCCATCTGCTTCTACAGCCTTGTGCCTTTGTGAGATGCTGAACAACAAGTCTTCTGATGGGCCAGGACAAAGCGTGAAAATGCTATCTCCCTACCTCTTCTTAGGGAACTTTGAATCAAGAGGATGAACGTGCAACAAACAATATGGTGGTTGTATGATTCCATGCAGGTGACATGAACAGGTTCACTGGTCAAGGCACATGTCTCAGTTGAAGCCACATTTTTGGACACCAACGGCCTGCTGGTGTCCTTCGATGACTTCACAGTACTTGATAACCCCAGCCCTGACGACATCAGTTGACAGTAATAAACAGCAGAGAACAAGGAGTTGAAATGTTCTGCAATCAATGCTTCAGTGGCCATCGCCAGATTTCATCGCCACCACCCACCAGTCGATCATCTGCATCACCATGCGTTCCCGCTCCGCAATGTCAGCGGCCTCCTTCTGCTCCTTCTCGCGTGCCCTATCCCACTCGAGCCGCTTCAGTGCACGCTCCAGTATCAATGTCCTGGAAAGGCACAAGACAATGCGAGTCATGCAGGCTGCGAGAGTTTGCCAGATGCCACAAGACCCAAGCACCTATTTTCCTGAACCGATCAAGCACATCTAACATCATCAGTCGATTTCCACAGTAGCAACGCACGGGCCCTTACCAGTGTTTGCCATCCTTAATTTGTGGCCCGAAAGTGAGCTGCTCTCACAGGCTTTGTTTTCTCTCAGCTCTGTAAACACCCCATTTCCTACGTAGCACCAGAGCAGCCCCCAGCACGCGATCCCACTAGGCTCAACTACATGATGGTCTCCAAGCTTGAAAAAAGCAAACTACCAGCTGCATTCTCCCCAGCCGTTTGCGTGATGGGGTGACTTTGTTCTGTCGCCAAGCAGTGTGAGGCTTCCATAGACTACCACTGCCATCCAATGATCACTAGAGGCACGCGTTACGACCAGCTTGGTGGATGTTTTTCACATTCATGCGCTGGACACATCTGCTCCTCCCCCACCTGTCTGTCGTGTCCTTCATCAGCTTCTGTATAATCCCTGTAGGCGGCATCAGCACCTTTGAGTAGGTGTCCGCGAGGGCCGTGAAGAAAGTGAACATGCTGTGCGTGGGCTTCAGGAAGTTGAACTGCGGGTTGCTGTGCTCCCTGTTGGCAAGCCCTGACAGAAATGTCTTGCCGTTGCGGGCCACGAACTGTGCCACCAGCTTTATGATGTCCAGGTCCTGAGCAGTGAGGCCCTCTGGAACGTGCACCTGGGCATGAACACCGCCAACTCAAAGTGCTGTCCAACACAGTGCTAAAAAGTTATATTACCAATCGACTTGTTATTCCAGTTACTTAGGTGCGCTGACAAATGGTTTAAAGCCCATTTGTCATTTTTCGGCAGAAAAAGTTTTTCTCTATTTGTGATATCTATATCATGGGCGGTGACAACATATGGAATGCCATCTTGAAATACCAACACTGCCAAAGGAGGCACTGTACACAGATGTGCAGTTCACCATAACCAGCAGTGTAGACATTGAGAAAAGCAGGGCGGTGGAATCCGCAGCTGCCTAGCCACACGGGAGGCTCCAAAGTCATTCACAAAAGACAAGAGTACCAAATACTTGTAACTGTTTTACCGCCTGCAGGGCATAACCAAAAGACAGTACTGGGTGCTAATTAAATGCTGCTACAAACAAAGACAACGGCACCCCAAATCGATACTGTGCAATGCTCAGAAGCCTTTTTATCAACAGTGATATTTATTTTTTAACTGTTGCTCAACAAGGACGACGACAGCACTCACAATCGTCACTGTCGATTGCATTCAAAGCTTTGTTCATTGACGTTGACTACTGATGGTTGGATTGTTTATTGATTCTGATATCGATGTCTGTCTGCTGCGTATGGTTCAGCTGCTGTTACGAATTCATGGCTGCACGCACTGTGTAATCTTCTGGCTCAGGCTCCTCCAACGTCTTGGCAGCTGCAGGCGCGGCCACCTTTGCCACCTCTTCCACCTGTTTCTGCTGTGGCTCCGCAAGGGCGCTTTCTGATGCAGCCGGCTTCTCCAGAACTTCCCCATCCGAAAAGTCGGCAATCTGACATTTGCACAGAAGCCTTTCAGGGCTTGCCACGTTCATCAAGTGCTGCATTTTGGACATAATGGAGACAGCTCAAGAATTGAGCACCCCTTCCTTGAGTGATGGCTGTGACGATAGATTGGCATTCTCCAAGCACGATGGATACCACTGGCCTCAGAAAAGGGCAAATAGCAGAGCTTCACGCAAAGTATATTGTAAGAACAGTTGAGCAGTGGCAATAGCGCAGCAGCGAGGATGCACAAAATAGCACATGTAGCAAGAAAATAATGCAGCCAGAGGGGCAGGTACATGCAACTGTGCAAGCCGCGCTCTTGCATCATTGTCCTGCAAAAAGCATTTCTGGGCTTTCGTGTTTCCTTGCATTGTCATTCAGAGTCCTTTCATTTGTTGTTCTTACAACAGAGACAAAAGACTGAAAAAGGAACACTGTGCTGTCTGGCAACAGACCCATTGTCCCCTGATTAGATGGGAATGTCCCATATTTTAAGGGATGCAAGACAAAAACAAATCGGATCCAATATGGCATCGACTATTTTGGAACAAAGAATTTGGCATCTCATATCACAGGTTGTGCACAACACATCTATGCAGTGTCCTAGTCTGCAATCTCACAAGGGGGATGGGAATGTTTAGTACAAATGTCCCAATGTCCCAATGCCCTGTCCCAGCATGAGTAACAGCAGTGTGGGGCCCTAGTCTGGATCTCTAACCGTCACCATCCACGGCCACCCCACATTTTCTCTCTTGCTCCCCTTGTCCATCTTCTGGATTTTGGTGAACAGAGGTGACCATAAGGTATGATATTCAAGTCCAAGGAGCCCATGAACAGCAATTTCATCCCCAATGTGTCCAATATGCTCAACATATTGGAAACTTGGTTGCACAGCACGTACGCGAACTGTTTGCTTTATTTATCTATTCATTCATTTATTGCATTTACGTCCCTAGTGTTATGATTCACAGCAACATTTAAGTGACTTTGTCCTTCATTTATTGCATTTACGTCCCTAGTGTTATGACTCACAGCAACATTTAAGTGACTTTGTCCCACCTTTGTTTTGTAGTACGCATTGTACGGGTCCCCAGGCACAAGAAAGTTAAACTTCAAATTGTTTTTCTCGTTGGCAAGAATGCGCTTCTCAAAGTCCAATCCTGCAGGATGAACAGCCCTTGGCGTCAGTGCCAAACACAGCTTCCATCCAATTCACAAATTTCTTTCGAACACTTTTGCTATGAGCTCAAAAGAAATGCTGATTTCCGTGTTAGAAGCAAATTATAAGGCCATCTAAGCCAAGAGTGGCAACAAGACTTGTGTAGGATGATTATACAACAAAGTGACAAATCAGGATGAATTGAACGCATTGTTGTGGCAAAAGCCAGCTCAACCCATGGTTCAAGGTTGCCACCACATCCAGGTAAAGAAGCATGTCCCATAACCTTCGAGGTGACATGCACACAACAGTTCCAACAGCACTCAGAGCATGAATCGATATTGAATATGTTCAACAAAATGTACAAAACTCCTGCCTGTTCAACGATTGGCCTTTAGAAGGCCAGTGCCAATGCTTCAAGAACATGTGTTGCCATATCTCGTCCTGGATTCGTTTGGGTTGCCACATGGAGGCTTCCAACAATCCAGAACGACACAGTGGGAGCTGCCTGTTCAACGATTGGCCTTTAGAAGGCCAGTGGCAGTGCTTCAAGAACATAAGTTGCTATATCTCGTCCTGGATTCGTTTGGGTTGCCACATGGAGGCTTCCAACAATCCAGGACAACACAGTGGGAGAACTTCGGGCCCATCAAGCAAACCATGAACTCAATCTTGAGTGCAACGCCATCCAAGCGTCACAGCAACGACAGACCTTTATAAGCAGGCTGAAAACGGGTTTCAGGCTCTCTAAGTGCCCATCACCAATTGTTGTCATCCACCAAAAAGGTACAACTCACATGTCGAGCCGTCCCTGTGCAGCCCCAAACTATTATCCTGCTATCCTGTCATTTGTGCTACTCTGTGTGGTGAGTTCTTCCTGTTGCTAACGGAAATTCGTCCCTTTCCCGGAGTGTGGAGGAATGCTTTGCACAACACGCTGCCTATGTAAGGACACCTGGCTGACCCATTGCATGACATGTTTCCTTTCTGCTTGAAGGTTGCCGCAGCATTGCTTGTCTGGCCCAAATGGGGTGGAGTGAAGTGGAACAGGCATGCATAGAGTTCATGCAACATCCTGAGAACAATTGGGGTACCCTGTTTGTTGCTTCACACCGGAATGCTGCATCAAATTCACCAGTCCATCTTGTTTTGTATGCACGGTATAACAAGCTTCTTGCCAGGCTCTATTGTTACAGCCCCCATAGGCCAAGACATGGCCAATGTGCATGCCACAAACCGCAGCAATGTAACTATTGGTAGGACGATTCCGTCTTGAAAGAAACTGAGACTGTGGCAGGGAAAAACAGGCTTTGATGGTGGAGACTGCGCAAGCCCATGGTCTGTTCTGTTCGCCGTCATCAGATTTTGGGTACCTGGACTATTCTTGTGGCCCTTCCAGCAACATGGTCAACGGCTACAACACTTATCTTGAACCCTGAACCACAGTGCCAAAGGGTGTACTGCAGTCACTCCGCAATTTGTTGCAAAATTTTGTGAGTGCCATCGAGATCTCTCAAAGCCACCGCACCCTAACAGACGCTCGATTCTTTGCAATATCCCGGAGTGAAGCGAGACACTCAAGCACTTTGCCGGAGGAAGGGAACACACGCTTTTCCAGATCTTCCCCTTCCCTACATACAAATACATATGCTTTCCGCAATGGCTTTCTTCCAGTTTTCGTGTCCCTGTGACACTCAACGCCCCACCCACGCCCATCAACCTCCCACCACTCCACCACAACCAGCGCTCATCGCACACTCCCCATTCCCTCCCAACCCCCTGGCCTGTGTGCTCCTCTTCTTGCACTGCACACTCCATATCATCTTTCGCAGCGTGGGAAGGAGTCTCGCATACGCTTGCTTAGCACGGAGTGCCCATGGCGTGAGCTGTTGCCCTTTCTCTTTTCAGCAATCTTATTCCCCAAGCCCCAGTTTGCCTTGTGCCGTGGGCACCCTTGCCCATTCCCTCCCACCCCTCCCAGCCTGTGTGCTCCTCTTCTTGTACCGCGGACTCCACACCACCTTCCGCAGCACGGAAGCAGTTACGCATGCGCTCGCTTAGGAGGGAATGCCCTTTGTATGATCCCGTCTCCCTTCCCCTTTCCAACAAATCGGATTCTCCCCCTTTTCAGCTTGTGTCGCGTGCCCCCCTCCTCGCACCGCAGACTCTCCATCATCTTTCCCAACATGGGAAAGAGTCTCACATGCGCCTGCCCAGAAATGGCCCCGCCTTTGCATGGCCCTTGTATGACCATTTTCCTTTCCAACAAATCCCACCTTCCCCCCCATTCCCGGGAATCCAAAGTCGCCCAGTCCCTCACCGTTCCTCGCGACGAACTCTGCCGTCTTGTCCACGATCGCCCGTATGTCCGGAGGCGGCTGGATGATCCCGATCGCCTTGGTCTGCGTGGCGGGCTTCAGCCGCAGGTCGCCCAGGTCGGGCGCCGGCAGCGCGGGCGCCGGCGTGCGCACCTCGCCCGCGGCGACCAGCGCCTGGGAGGCGCCGGGGGCATCTTCCGGCGCGCCCGGGGGCCCGCCGTTCTCCCAAGGCGGCGGCGCGACGTCCGCGTCCGCCATGGCTGTCGCCTCTCGCGGGGGGTCGGCTTCGCCAGCTGCCCGAGGCCAAGGCAGTTCAAATGGAGGAAGTTGTGACCGAGTGCTTTTTTTTTGGGGGGGGGGAGGGGGGGGTCTTTCTCTATTTTCTTCCTTTTTTCAGTGTTTTTTCTTTCGTTTCTCTTTTCCCACGTATTTTTCGGATTCCGGGTGTTTGCGAGGTCAGTTGGGGTTTCCCTGGTGAGTTTCGGGTGACGCCCGTCGGTCTGATAGGTTGTGCGGTCTTGCGCGATGCGGCTGGCCATTGTCCACAGTTTCAGTAAAAGGTGGTACAAACAAGTACTGTGGGAAGCACTGAGTCTTGCAGCACATTTTACCAAGAGGAATTTTGCCAAAAGAGTTGGCAACTCTTCCTTTGGTTCCGTGAGGAGTTCCTCATGAACGCTGTAGTTAACGGGGTATGATATCCTGCGCCGCCCAAGGGGTCTCTGTCTTGCCTGTTTGTTCGCACTGCGGTGCGTTTGTTTTGCCCTCCTTCAATGCGCCCCCTCACGTCTGGGAAGGTGGTGCGGCGATGCCAGCGGTCTGGTGTCAAATTTGTGTTCATGCTGTGGTTTTCAGTCTGCCATTGCCATTACCAGCTTGACAGTGCAGTTGAGTTCCACAAGTGCCATAGTCCAGGTACCGCTGGCGGTCGACACTTACAACCCCTGGTGCTCTAGTGCACTGCAATGCAACAGTTAGCAGCCACGAACGTCAACTTGACATTCGACCATCGCGAAGCGCATCCACGATGGATCCAAGACTCCGTGCACCATCGCCTCTGAGCCGGGCAATGTACATGGCTCACCCACTGTGCCATTGCCTCACAATGTATACTGCTGTGCATGGCATCTGGCATCCTATAAAGGACAGAGGGAGCAAGGTTTTGGTGCATTTATTGACTCTGATGCAACTTCCTGCTGTCGTGGCACACAAATCACAAGTTGCCAGATGCCATCCGCCCACGACCAGTGACCCTGCTCCCCTCGCACCCTCCACTAATACTTTAGGCCTGTTTTGGGTCAAAACTGGCTGCAAGGCGCGGTGCCTAGTACTTCTGTCACACATGTGAAATGCATATCTGGCACTTGTGAACTGCAGGGCTTTTGAACGCGAATTTATTTGCATTCACACAGTGCTTATTCTACATAGCGTAGTGCTGATCTTTGGCACAGAAATTGGTTCTCTGTGCTTGCGCCCATTTTCTCTGGAAAGGCGTTAACGAATGGAACAGAATTGGCTGCGGGCGCCTCTGTGTTCCGCGTTCTTCCCTTCTCTTCTTCCCCATTCCTCAGTGTCTTACCATTGAAGAATTTTGGGAAGCTGACAGGCAGCTCCTTGCCCGATGCCTGGCAGACTTTTGTGGTTGAATGAACACACACACCCTCGCGATAAACAAATTGCAAGCGATCCTTAAATTAACCCCCCAGAAAATAAAATATCAGGAACAAAAAAGTCCATCTAACAATCTGTAAAACAAGTCTTTCCTCCCGTACTCCAAGGCGACAATTGCTACCCCTCATTCCCCTCCACGTCCCCCCTGCGACACCGGCCTACCCGTCCGATCCGACAAACCCCCCATTCGTTTGACCCCCAAGATCATCCCTTTGTTGTTGGGCTCTACATCCATCTGTCTGAGCCACAAACTGATCCCCTTGGTCTTGACCCCCACATTGATCAATTTGATCCGCAAGATGATCCCGCCGCTGCTGACCCACACATTGATCCATTTGGTCCTGTCGATCCTTTTCAGCCATTTGATCCGTTTGAGCTGGATGATTGCACTCCACTTCGATCTGCCTGCTAAAGACCGGCTGCCACGTGTATGCGATGCCTGCGGCCGCCAGAGCAGTGAGGCAGGTGACTGTGACGTCTTGCCAGGTGACGCCCGGGTGGGAGTGCCAGAAACTGGACAGCACCCTGGCCACGTAAGTGTGGCGGGCCTCGCGCACGCGTGATCTCCTGTAGTAGTATCGCTCCTGGGGCGGACGGAATGGAAGTTGAATAAGAGCATGCAAGTGTAATATGTAAGATTCTTAAGGACCATGCAATAGAGTATTCTTTGCTTTGGAGCAAAAGAACAGTGGATCGAAAGGAGGAAAGAAAGCCGCTAAAGGTGCAAAAAAACAAAAGATGTAGAAGAGTAGAATTACCTGATAGAAGGAAATGAGAAACAATCCACTCAAGCCCATGCGCCAGGGACACTGTCCGTGGCAGCGAACAAAAAGCTTGTTCACAAGGTGGCGAGCCGGAACACAAGCATACAGGGAGCTCTCATTGCAGCAAATAAATATGACTGTTGGCTGCGTATGTAGGGGCGTGACTCAGTACTTGGTAGCATAGTCTTGTACCCACATTTTATGGCAGGGAGCTGGTTGCATATACAACGTAGAAGCATGTGTATACTTTGGAAGAAACCAACCGTAGGTCAAGAATGGCCACAAATGCAGCACAGCACTCCACATCACGGTGTGACACTAATGGCTCCTCACCCTGTTGCTGGCAGCCTCCTTCTTTTCAGCTTCCCATGCCGCAGCCCTGTCAGCCTTCTGTTGGTATTCTGAGGCCCGGCGTTGCTCTTCTTCCTGAGCAAATCTGGCAGAGAAATCCACGTTGTTCTTTTGATCCCCAAGACTCCTGGCTTGCATCAAATGAAAAACTGCCAGGCACTTGCTGTAATTCATGACAGTTCTCTTTCATTTCTATTCTGTAGTTGCCAGTAGCTCCTGTGAGGCATGTCTAACAGTATCAATGAATTTGTCTGTTCGTATTCACATCGACGGGCTCGACAGTTTCTCTGTCTGTGTTGTTGATTCTTGTGTTGACTTGATAATGTGCAGTGTGGAGCATTTACAGCAAGTCCAGAGAGACAAAGGCAACACGGGGGCTGTGCACTTGCAGAACTCTGGAAAAATCACATACTACTCCAACAGAATTCTGTAACGAAATTGGTCACTGGCCCCATCCAAAGGGTGGTTTTCCAGGCTATGGACCAGTTTTGAGTTCCGCTGACACAAGACAGAGGCACATGCCTGTTACTGCTACAATCCCATGCAATCTGGGGCCAACTTGAAGGTGCCGCTCATCGCAGAGCAATAAGGAATTCAAATATGCTGAGAAATGCGCTTTGGCAGGAGCCCCAGGGTACTGCAAGAAGGGGGGAGACACACACAAGCGACCAGAGTGTGCCAAACCAGCCGGTCCAAGGCTCGAGGCATCCAGCGCAACCCACTCAAAACAACGAACGGCTGGCAACTGCGCCTGGAATCATCACCAAAAATGGCGGGAGGGCACATTGCTGGAGTACATCCTGCTGCTGCAGATGCCAAAACATGTGACAAAACAAGGCCCCTGCTCATGAAGAGGAAGTGATGGCAGGCGTGAGGCCAGCGCCTTGCTAATTTGGTGTCAAAAGTTTCACACATTTCACATAACCTCCCAACTGTGTTTGAATTGCGTTGACGTGGGATCAAAATCGTGTACCTGAACTTTCCACGGAACAACCACGGCAAATTGGGATGGACATGTGCAATGCCAAACCAGGTTCTCAGTCCCATTTTCCAGCAGTGTCCAGGACGCATGCACTTGAAGGGATTGCGCACCTGTGGCCGAACTTCTCCCAAAAATCTCTGAAATCTTCGTCGAACGGCTCCTCTTTTCGGGTCCCCCACCGCCTTCGTGGCCCCTCTGCAGCTTCGGCCCCTGCCCCTTTCACAATATCGTACGCCTCTCTCCGCTTGGGCTGGCTCAGGACCTGAATCAATCCAAATTTGATTGCACTAAGACAATGCAGCGAGGTGCTGCTGAAGGCCCCAGAGTGTATGTTCCATCGTTGCATCAAATTATTCATGTGGTGGCTTTTACTTATGTCTTGAATACATTAATAGAAACAGTTACTTTAATGTGCTTTTTTGAACAGGGTTCAAATCTAAAAGTACATGACACTCTAAAGCTTTGCTCCAATTTCGTATTCCTATAAATACTCCTTGTACAGTATCTGGAATGCCCAATACCAAATGATGGTTTAAACAATACAAATATGATCATCATTTCCATGAATGGTGTGATGTAACAAATGTCAGCATGCTTCATGACGAACAATGCTAGGACCTGGCCATTTCGACTTGTCTTTGGATTTGACTTGTCCTCTACATCATTTTTCCAAGGGCAGAATGGAACAACAAATGTCCACTGAATAGGAAATGATCCCCAGCCACAATACTATTGTCCTCATTCACCACTAAGGGGTTGGAATTCACACCCATGAGCAGCACACGCATTCCTCTGAGAAACTTGCATATACATGTCCAGGAAATGGCCATATATTGGAAGTGTGCACCATATCCTATACAGCACATCCAGGATATGGCAATATCCTGGAACTGTACAACCAGGATATAGTGCCGATATCAAATTTCGATATCCAGGATATGGGCAACGATACAAGACCCTGGGCATCCAGGATATGCCCAGGACTTTCTTCCCACCCTGCAATACTTGATGGCCTGGGACATGGACACAACAGCGTATCGCGCGCTCATGACCCACCTCATATGCCTCCTTCACCAAAACGAACTGTTCTTGCAGTTCCTTCCCTGCTTGCGGATGCCTGAAGACAGCCACACAGCCAGCCAAAAATTTAGAACACTGTTTGATGATGGCTGAGAGACCATATTCGAATTACCACTCAGCACAAGCGACGCTAATTGATTAGCAGCTGCCAGAAAATTGCCTGCCCCATCCCTTCACTGACACAGCAATGGTGGGATAATTCCCATGCACAGTGTTTCTTCAGTTCGCCTCTGCCCAGCAATAAGGCTGGCAAAACAAATTGTTGAATCATCTGCGAATACAACGTCTATGAACGCATAGTGCTGTTGCCTGAAAGCTACAATCTTGACTGGCTCTGCTGTCTCGTCTCGGGTGCCAGTGGCGCTTCGAGAACGTGCCCTACCAGGAACACTTTCTAAAACTGCACCACCGGTGCTGTGTTTCCTGATACTGATGCCAAGACTGACTGTGCAGGTGTTTTGGAAACATTGCTTTACAACACAGCTGGATTTGTGATATGCACGCTAACTTCAACACCATGTGGTGCATTAGTATCCCAATTGTGACTGCCTACTGGGCGAGGCACACCTTGTGTTCTGTGTCACTCCTGCTCCGGGGTAGATTCATTAATACTCAGGTGCAACGGCAGTGACTGATTATCTTTTGTACATGTTGTCCAAATGGATGTAAACAGGAAATGGCAAAATAGAAGTTCTGGATGGGAGAGCCGTAACGTGGCACAGCCATCGCCTGGGACCAATTTTACAACATAGCAAAATTTTAACAACGCCAAAGTGCAGACTCAAGCTTCCAGCAGAACCCACAGAGGAGCAAGCCATGGAAGAGAGCCTCAAGATACCACCTTTGAAGGAGGAGGTTCATTGCATGGGTTGACATTTGCTTTGTCGTGTGATGCTCCGAACGCACACAGAACTTTCTGAAGAACGAGATCAAAAAGATCCCCGTATTCTTAACCAACAGGCGGTGCAATTTGCACAAAATGATCTTTTCCTTTTGAAATTTACTACTTTGCTATCATTTAACCTTTTGAATAATATTATATCCTCTGCTCGCTCTTGGACTACTTGGATCAGTCACTGGGCAACACCAGACGATGGAGACGGCATTCTGGACGGCTCACAGATCAAGGCAGGCAATGGTAGTATCGTTGGAATGGCAGCGAGTTCTTCCGTTTTGATGCAAAATTCACTCAACAGCGTGTCAAGCAACATTGCCCTTCCAAAATCGAAGGGAGATAAGAGGCTCTTCACGCACAGATTGCCTTCCCATCATATGACTAACCGAACCCAGCACCCCTCCAGCACCGCCCGGGTCGCCAATCCATCGATCCAGTGCGCACTTCTACTTCAGACATCACATGGACCTGGTGCCCCGATCCTCCCCCTGTGCCACATTATCTCACGAGGACCACAGCGGCGGTGACCTCTGACGCTGGCCTATTGACTCCCGCTGCGCCTGCTCCTAAAATCGCATCCCGCAGGCGGAAGCGCCGGTCCCGACGAAACGCGGAGGGGGGCGGGCGCTTACAAGTCCGGATGGCACTGCAGCGCCTTCTTCCTGTAGGCCTGTTTGATCTCCCTCGTGGTGGCGGTGGTGGGCACGCCCAGCAGGGCGTAGTAATCCATGCAAAGGGGCGCCGGTTGGAAGGGGCGACGCGCGCCGGTCGGCCTCCTGTGGGGACGCGCCCGCTTGGCCCGAGCCCTGTGGCCACGGGGAGCGTTGCGCCCGAGTCTCGATTGGGAAGAGGTGCCGCTTTTTTTGTGCGCGTGGTGTGTGCGGCAGAAAAAGTGAGCGGAGCACTGATTGGCACAATCCAACAAGATACTGTTGGGCTTTAAACCCATCCGCATGGTAACGTAACGCTTAGCCCCTTTTTGCGGAGAAAACAATAAAATAAGTAACGCTTTTTCGGTGAAATTTTTGTGGAGCAACGTAAAAGAAATGAAAGTAACGCTCTGATAAAGAAAACATGTGGAGCAAATACCGTAACAGTAAAATTCTCCGATGCGGAAGGGTTCAAGAACCAACAGTATCATATTTTGCCGGTGGTGTTGCCAGGTGGTCAGTGGGGTGGGGGGGGGGGGTTGAATTTTTAACTACTAGCGCTTAGCGGCCAATATAAAAGCGAGAGCAGACCAGCGAAGCGCATTCCAAACAAGAAATTTGAATATTTCTTGGCATCCACAGCGCGCGATAGGCGATAAGCGAAAAACAACGATCATCCGCAAATGCACCAGAGCATCCTCGGCAAGCGGTAAACAGCTCTAATGAAATCCAGGAGTGGAGGCACAACACCTGGTCGGCACCTGGCGTCCGGCGCACTCTTCGCTCGCACCCCAGTGCGCCCAAAGTTTTCACTAGGAGAAAAAGGACAAAATAACACGTGTTCAAACGTGTACACATTTTATGGGTTTGTGTTGTTTTTGTGTTCTTAGAGTGTAGAACTTTGATGAAATGTGCTTTATGTGTGTTCGCAAGAGTGTTATTTGGCCCTTTTTTCCCTAGTGTTTTGTGTCGTTTTCGCAAGCTGCCCACACGCCACAAACATTGAACGTAAAGCTGGGGTTGCCTGGCTCGCGCCCCGAAATTGGTAAGAATGCCCAGGCAAACTGTTGGGGCCACACCGATGAGTCGGCACTTGCACGAATGCGCATTTTTGAGCATCTTCAAAGACAGTACACTGGATATCCCAAAATGCTTGATTTTCGTTGATCTTCAGAAGATCAGCACAGATCAGAGAACAATGGACTGCAGATTTCGATCAAAATTTTCTGACTTAGAACACAACTTATCATAGAATTTGTTCGCCTAGAATGGATGCAGTCCACCTCATACAGTAGTGGTGGTCTTGGAGACATGTTTGTGTCCACTTCTGCCATGTCCGTGTCCCGAGACCACCTAATTTAAACAGAAATTTAAAAACTCCAAAAAACTATTTTAATTCCCCAAAAATTTTTGGATGGGCACTGTTTCAGTGTCACAAGATCTGCCCTCTCCATCTGTCCGTGTTTCAAGGCCGATGAGCCCCAACCGCTGGCCCAGTCATCATGACGGCCATGAAAGCCATGATGGCGCTTGGTTGCAACTGCGCTGGGCACGGCACTTTGAGGCCAAGCTCCACCGCAACTGCCAACAGTGCCATTGCGAGCAAGCATGTGTAGGATGCCATCTCGCGCGGGCGGGAGCAGCGCGCAGGGCCAACGAAGTTTAATCTTCACGGCGATGGGCGCCCACAGTTGCGTTGAACGTGTATGCGCTGCGTGGGACAGGCCTACACAACTCCCAAGCCCAGCGCCTGGGGCAATGCGACCTATTATATTGGCCTTTGTGTGAGACAAAGTCCACTATACTAGTCACCAACAGTACTAGTCAAACAAAGGCCATTATACGCCGACTAGATAAACAGACGCATGGTCAGATGGTACAGAGTAGTGCGTTTGATACAAGGCTGCCCAGGCCCCCCTTGACTGTGTCCCACCAATCAGGGGCCAGCCAGAAGCCATTCACAACGGCAGGCGCGGGCCCAGCGGCCTCTCCTCTAACGGCTGGTCACCATATGGTGACCCTGATGCATCAGGGGCCTCGCCACCGATCAGGGGCCAGCCAGATACAACCACATACAGCGGCACGCGGCCCTCGTATGCGGCCCCTTTGGTTTTCACCTCATGGCTCGTAATCGACAAGGGGTCAGCCAGAAGGCGCGTCCAACGGCAGACGCGCCCAGTCCACCAATGCTGGGCCGCCCACCCACGCGACGCGTTCAATGGCAGTCCCATCAGTTACACACGGCTGGCGGCGCCGCCTTTGACGTCCACAGACGCCCCCTACACACATGTGTGACTGAACCCATCAACCAGTTGCACACTTGTGCCCCGCGGCCGGCTCCGTGCCTATATGTGCCGCCTTGCGCGGGGGGTCAGCAAAATATACTGATCCCATCGGAAGCGAGTTGCGCAATAGGGAACTCGACCTCCCCGCATCCGGACGTGACCGACCACAGCGTCCCGTCCCACCTTTCTGCCGTGCCGAAGGAACGGGTGGGCCCTCAGCTAGGCAAAGGCGGAGAAGCGGCACAAAGCGCGACGGCATGGCGTCGATGAGCCTATCGAGAGGCCTCATGATGGCCTTGTTGGCGGCTTCCCTGTTCGCGATGGCCCAGTGTCAATGCCCGGTGAGGCTCGCTTCTCAGAGCGCCGACTTGCCGCCGGCCACTCGCCTTGCGCTCGCGGGGCTCGCGCGATTGGACTGCAGCGCGCTCATCGCCAGATGGCAATCGGCGGCTCCTGGGCTGTGTTCGCGAGGAACGGAGAGTTCTCTTCTGCACGCGCTGCCTGGCGAAACGGACGCACTCACGCGATCTCAGCTCGATGGAAAACATTGTCCATGGCGCCAGTCACGTTTGGCGAATTGTTGCGCACAGTTCCTGTCCCCATCACGGAGCGTGACCGCGATCGGCCCTGTTCCGACATGGATCATGCCGCGACAATCGAGCTCAGCACGACCCTCAGCTCCCGCCGTTCCCCTGGACTGCTAGGGCGGTCGGCCCTGCACCACGACGTTAGGATCCCGCCGCTCCCCTGACCTGCTACGGTGATCGACCCTGCATCAACTTTGGCTTGGGGTGCCCCCAGCTCCGGAACGCAATACCCTTGGTCCGCAATGCCTGCCTTCGCCTTTCCCACTTCCCTGGATCCCGCTGGCTGCACATTCTCCAGTTGGGTTCCGGCGGTCACGTCACTCGGCCTCTAGAGACTCTCGGCTGGGCGGTGAAAGCTTGTGTCAGGGCGCGTCGATTGCCTGCGTTTTCATCCAAGGACAGAGGCGTGTGGGCTGAAAAACGCTGGCATCCTTGGTAGCCAACCCGGCCAGCCTGAGTTGGCAACACGGTGGATGGCAAAACGGCGGCATCTGCACACAGATGTGGTCTGTACACCTTGGCCCCACGCTCGGGCGACCGGTGCTCCTTTGCCCCAACACGCCCCCACTCCGTAGCTTTGATCGCAAGATCGCCCTCTGAGCCCTTCTGTCTGTCCTGCCAGTTCTCGGGGGTGGTGGCCGACCAGTGGACCACCAACAGTGGCCAGCCGGTGTACAACAACGACGACTCGCTGACGGTGGGCCTCCGCGGCCCGGTGCTCTTGGAGGACTACCACCTGCTGGAGAAGCTGGCGCATCTCAACAGGGAGCGCATCCCAGAGCGCTTGGTGCACGCGACGGGCACCACCGCCAAGGGATTCTTCGAGGTGAGCCACCGTCGCCGAAGGAAGGCGATCGTCCAGGCCGCGGCACATTCGTTGCAGTTCACAACAGTTGCACGCATGCGCTTTCAGCTGGGACTTCGCCCTGGTTGAGTGTAGGGATCGTGGTCCGCGGTACAGCGCCCCGAGGTTGGTTGCCAAGGGCACACGCTGCGGGAGCATGTCCCTTTGCGCGTTGCGTGGTGACATGCATGGCATGTGCGATGGTCGCGTTCACCTGCAAGAAATTCGCCCACTTCCCCCGGGCAGGTTCCGCCCAACGTTTAGCTACACATTTTGCTAGGCCGAATCTCGAAATTATATTATTAGATGTCGAAATTAGAGAATCTCGAAATCTGAGAGAAATGACGGCAGGCAGATAATGCTGCTGTCGCCGCTCAAACACGCTGTGGTTTTGCAATCGCGTTTTGGCGGCGTGAGCCGTGTATTCAAGTTGTCCTTGGCCCAAGAACGTCGCTGAGCGTGTGTTTTGGTCCCGGCAGGTTACTAAGGACGTCAGCAACTTCACCTTCGCGGATTTCCTGAGCGAGCCGGGCAAGAAGACCGACGTCATTGTCCGATTCTCCACCGGCGTTCCATCCAGGGGAGGGGCGGAGACGGTGC